TTTTTTGTACCGGGGATCGAGCTCGGGACCTTGCGCTTGTGAGGCAAGCAGTGGAACCACTGAGCTCAATCCCCGGGCTTCTTGTGATTTTAAATAGCCATCTAATATTACATTGGCTTACTCACTATTGAACTAGTTCCCTACCATTAGAAATCATAAGACAGCCCCCAGTTTTTTAGTATTCATTCTGCTATGGGACAAACTCTGTCCTCGCCGATCCGGTCAGGAAGTGAGCACAGGTCTCTGCGAGAGCACTGGCGTCACCTAGCGTCCTTGCGGCTCCCCGGGGGCTCACACTAGCGCGGGCCTCAGGAGCCCAGCGCCCTCCCCCTGCGCTGCGAGACCCCTCCTTCCTCAGCAAGTGACACCTCTCCCCACCGCCCGCAGGCTCCCGCTGCCCTGGCTCCTGTACACCCTCATCCACAGCTTCCAGCCCGTGGCCGTCAGCAGCAACGGGCTCTTCTGCGCCATCGTCCTGCTCTTCATCATGCTGCTCTTCGTCATCCTTTCCATCGCACTCTGCAAATGGCGGATGAATAAGGTGCTGGGCTTCGTCATGTTCGGCCTCTACTTTGTGTTCCTGGTGGTCAGCGTACTCCTGGAAGACAGAATTCTTGTGTGCCCCGTCTCCATCTAGCAGAAAAGCCATATCCTGAACCAACAACAGCACGGAGACCCCTTCCTGCTCTGGGCTCCGGGGTCCTTAACTTCCTGAGAAGAAGCAGCGGGCACAAACCCGGGCGCCAGCGCCCTCCTGGGCGGGACGGAGGAGTCCACGCAAGACGAAGGCAACCGTCTGCGCAGGCCTCTCTCCACTCTCCGCTGAGGTACTCCTCGCTGGCCGGAGGTACATTCATTGTAATGATGCAGACAAGGAGTCTCTATATCCACGTATGAAATATACACACATGAACACGAATCCTGCCTGTTCCTGTACTATGCCTCTCCTTGCATACCTATAGATGAACATATAACTGTACACAAAGAGAAAAGTATATATAAAATTATATATATATATATATATATAAAAGTACAAATGCATCTTTTCAGGGATAGCTCTAGTAGATTTATAGTACCTATTTGAGAAGGGGCATATCTACCTTCAACCTTCAGTCTGGGCTTTACCTCATAAGCAGAAGAGGGAAATCATGATATCAACAGACAGGTGGCTCTGCTACAACCTTTGGCCTCCCTTGAAGATGGATGGTTTAGGGAAGCAGTTTCCAGGGAGGAGGGCTTAGTAAAGAGAGTCTGTAGGAACCCAAAGTTGAGCCCTCCAAAATGTTCCCACAAGCCAAACAGGGAAGGCTAACTGCCCACCCCACTGTGGTGCATGACAGGGATTTAGGGCAGACAGGTAAAACCCAGACTGGATTGATACTAGTTTGGGGGGTGGGGTGAACAGGATTGGGTTATTTTGGTTTTTTTCTTATATTGCCCCAGCATGCAAGTAGAAAATATGACTGCAAACTAAATTAGTGCTTCTCTAGGACAGCAGAACTATATAAACTAAACCTTTATCTTTCCAACACGTATCCCATTATCATCAAAAGGAGGGCGGTCTTAGTTGTGGTCATCCTGTAGACATACTTTGAAGCTAAGGGCTCACACATAGTCAGATGCCTGCCGGAAGAGCCGAGATGTGTGCTAGGAACACCATGCAGTAGCGGTGCTCAGCCAGACCTGCCACCCGCTGGGAATGCGAGGGAGCGGCTCCAGGAAGCATTTTCCAGTGTGGTCATAAAGTGTCTAAGAATCATTACTTCCAGTAGATCTAAATTAGCTCTAACCAATCCTGCTTGGATGGGGTCAGCTTGGAGATGTCTGAAGAGACAGTACACTTGGTGCATCCCGGGAAGGTCTCTGAGTCTAGTCATGGATTTGGTTAGAGTCCACACGACATCTGTGTCTCTCCTCCCAGGAGGACCCTATCTGGACTCTGTCTGGTTTTTAGAGTTCACTAAAGACTCTACTCCATTGCTTCATTATGCTGGTTTCAACCCAGTTACCCCAAAGTTTTGATTTCTTAATTTTTCTCAGCTTTACATGGGACATTCTCATTCAATTCCCTCAAGTTCTATTTGACACTTTGTATTATTTCTCAGGTCTACTTCAGTGGAAAATAAAACTAGCAGGGAGTGAACAAACTAAATGGATAAAAAAAAGTATGTAGAACCTTTCATTTCCCCCAAGTGAACAGAGGGTGGGCCATTACGCTATCCCACCGTGCTCTATGTTGGCACATACCACAAATGCACACGGGGAGTCCACCTTGTGTGCTCCTGTCTCCAGTCCGTTCTGCTGCTCTGATTACATGATGAGCCCGTACCTCTTCATTTGGGAGACAGGAGGCAAGACTCACAGTTGAACACCAGGATCAGTGACCAGATCCCCAGCCCGAGGCCATTCCTCCTCCCTGAGACCTCAGCTCCCTCTGCAGAGCATGGCCGCAGCAGGAAGTGCCCATCCTCACGCTTAGCCCACAAGGAAACAAAACTACAAAGGGGAGCCCTCCCTGCCCTGAGAAAGCAAGAAACCAAGCTGCTACCACTGAGGTGCTAGCTTTTCAGGCTCTGCAACTGCATAACATTGGGTTTTCAGATGTGTGGGAGGAAGAAACCCTCATCTCACTCATCAAAGGCAGGACTTAGTATTAGGCAAGAATTTGTGTTGGGTGTTTAGAGTGAGAAAATGAACTTTTAGTTTTAAAAAGCGTTGTTTGCCCTGATACTGCCTGAAAGGGAACACAAATGGTTATTGTGTGAATCCTATTTTATTGCCTAGTTTGTTCTTTGAAAGGTTTAAATAGGTGACTTTGGGCACTGGAGGTCGAGTGCCACCTGCTCTGTCCCAGCCATTCCTGATTGTCCCCCTGCCTCCTTGCTCCTTCCCATTCATTCCTAGCTCACCTGAAGACTCATCCAAGCAGCCAGCAAGAATTTTCCTTGCCAAAGAGTTGGTAGCTCCATTTCACAGAAAATGTTCTGGTCTTTAATGAAAGGGTTTCTGAGAAGACAACATTTCAAGCCTAGTTCCCACGTGAATTATGTGCAGTAAGCATGACCCATGGAAGAAGTGTTCCCTGGCTGAATGGTGGACAGGCACCTCCACTGCTTGCCCTTGCTTTCTCTTCATGTATGTGTCTTTGAGTGTGCGGTGATGTGTTAGTGTACCATCATTTACACAGTTATAAGAAACTTACCACATCAGGGTTTCCAGAATAGATCGTCTTTAAACTCTTTCCTGACTGCCTGTGTATATGAGTATCAGATTTGTACAATATCAGTTACGTCATTACCCTCTGACCTAATCACATTCACAACTCCAAAGCAAAGAACATCCAAGTTTGCCAAAGTAAAGGAAAAGGGAAGTCATGCACACCCACCAAAGGGAACATTTCTTCCTAGTCCCATAAGGTTGCTTTGTTCTATGCATATTCATAAACAAACACACACATATGCACTTATGTTTTCACAGCCCCAGAATATACATTTACAGCCTTAAGGAAACGGCCAGCCATACCCCTACTGTTGATGCAGAAGCATAGAATAGGCAACAGGAAGCACAGGGAAAAATTCAGACTCCAGATGCCCTCTTTGCTTCTCTCGAGCAGTATACAAAATAATACCAAAATTTCATACCAACATCTTACTAAATCTAAAATAAATGAGCTGCATCCTAATGGTTTCATTTACTCACAGCAAACCAAATAGGTCTCACTTGCTGTCACCTCTCCTGTAACCCAGACAAACTCAGGACAGGAAAACAACTTGGTTCAAACCAAGACTTCTAAAATAGAAACTTCTAACTTGCATCTGAGAATGCCTACACGTCTAGCTGCCCTCTTGACTTGACCAATTCCTGATGACCTGAAGTACCTGATTAGATGATGCTGTTCATCTTCCCAGGACCTTAGCTGAATTGGGTGATGGCAGATTGGGAAGCAAAATACATGTGCAGGAACAGAGGGAGGAGGTTATTTACTGGCTTGGCAGATGCAGCAGAATATCTTAAAACCTTCCCCTGAAGATTGTAAAAAGAGGCACGGACTGCTTTATATTCAGAGAAAATGCTTTGTAAGGCTTCTAACAGGTGTCACCTGACAGGGGCCATTATAATTTATTTTATAGGGAAGACATGAATCAGGTGGTTTGGAGCCCTTTCAGCAAAACACAGCTGCCTTGCTGATTAGATCATGTCCATATGCATCCACTCCTGGGCAGAAAGGAGTGGGCAGACTAGCCCCTACTGCTCATCTTTTAAATGTCTCTGTGATAGTGAGATAGGACAGGAGCTATGAAGGAAAGCGCCCACTCCCAGGCCACCTTCCCAGAAAGTTAATTGAGGAAAAGACAATTGGTAGACAGAGTTGAAGATGACACTTGTGTTACAATGATGTTCTGTTGAAATCACTGCATTGAAGTACTGAAATAGGCCTGACAGCCTGTCTGAATGCAAGCAGTTCCTCAAATGTCAGTGTGCTTCTTCCTCACATCTGTGCACACGTGTACACACACACACCCAATTATGTGAATGCCAAGCTTCCTTGCACCAGACACATTGCCATTCCAGTAGATAAGTGACCACATTATAGACAGCAGACAAAAGGAAGAAAGCTGTTCTTAGGGTGATTTCCAAGAAAGTGTGCTCCAGAAGTTAATGCTCATTCTCACTAAGCCAGATCTTACACCCCACTGGCTTAATATTAAAAGACATACCCACAAGGCCTGCACCTCCGTCAACACTATCAGCTTCAATTAGCAGATAAGGCCTTGGCATTAGGGGTTAGTAAAGGTAGGAAATGGAAAGAAAGGAGAAATTAACTGACTTTACCAGGATCCCTAAGCAAGCAAGTATCACATTGAAATTTATCCTTATGTCATTTAAAATGGTTAAAAATATCAGGCTGTTTTAAACAATTTCAAGAGCCCATATATAGTCCTAGATTTTATTTTAAATCCCTTCTCCAGAGGCCTTGGGAAAGAAAAGTAACCATGTCTTTACCCCACTGTCTATTTGAGTTAAGCTCCCTGCCTCTGTAGTTTCATGCTTCTTTTTTTAATCTCAAACCTTCATGTTCTTTGAAATATAAAGCAAACAATAAAAAGCAATAAAGGAAATATAGCCAGCTCCACTCCATTATTTATTATTACACCATCGCAATATTTCTTCTGTTGCACTGGGAGCTTCAGGGCTACATGGGCTGTGGTGCTGAACCAACAGAAGACTGGGTTTCCGTGGAAGTCACAAGCTCACTCTGGGCTGTACATAGAAGGAATGTATTTTGCACACAGTATCCACAGAAGGTACACAGTGCCCCGTTACACAACTCCTTCACGTGTGAGCATCAGCCTGGCTCCACAACACATGAACCCCCGCAACATTCAGGCTGCTCGTGAGTTTGAACCACGAGACTGGGTGATAGGTAACTAAATTCCCGGCGTGTCAGACAGTGAGGGGCTGCATGGAACACCCTACATGATTAACAGCCTGGAAAACCTAAGCTAATTGTTTGAAAATAAACAGATACCTAAGTCTGAGGGAGTGCCATGAGTATTCATAGGCTGCCACTGAAGATCTAACCCAGTAGGAGTTTGTCCAGCCAATCACCGTAATCCAAAAGGCAGCATCCTCCAGGAAAGGGAGCCCCACAGAGGTGCTCCTGATATAACTGAGGCAGAAAAACCTCCCTCAGGTTAACCCTAGTCCCTCCAGTTGAAGACTTCAGCTTTTTTTTTTCTTTTTGGCAGAAAGCAGCTGCATATGGGCACTGTTCACTCTTTACCCCAACATAGTTGGAAATCACCCGTAAGCGACCCTTTACCTCCTTTTATCCAAAGTATCCTTACATTTGTATTTTGAAGTCCTTTTTTAATCCTCCTAATCACTTTTACAGTTCTTCTCTACTATTTCTTTTTAAACACTCTCCTTTGTTCTTAAGTTATTGTGCCTTGTGACAGATCACAACATGAGTACAGGTCTGAGCAGTGCTGAGTTACAGCCTGGAGCTTCTGGCTTTACTCCCTTGTTACACACCCCTCTTGCTCGTGCCTTTTAAAAAGTCACACTTTGTTGCTAATTCACATTTGTCTTTGTTCCTGTGGCCCCTGTGTCTCTCTCTCTTCAAGATGTTTGGGTGAAGCCAGGGTATTTCTCAGCCTGCCCCATCCTTGTGTAGGTGTCTGGCTGCTGTGAGCCTTCTCTGTTGGCCTTATTGAGTCTCTATCTGATTATTTCTAACCTCACTTCCACATTTGAAGTCCTAGCTGGACCGGTCCTTACCCTCCTGCAAGGTTCCCACCACCAACCTCCCAGTGTACTTGATTTCGCCAGTTTAGCAGGCATGTTTTCCTCCTCCTCCTCCCCACCCCCCGCCCCGCTCCTTGATGTGAGCACTGGAGAAGTTGAGACCTCTGCCCCCAACATGTGTTTGTGGTAACTGAGTGCTTCTTGGGGGCAGTCCTGCTGCTGAAATGTGGACAGAATTCACCACCACAGTTAAGTAGGGCAGTAGGGACACCTTCAGAGGACCAGCAGGGGTTGGTTCTCCAGTGAGAAGTGTCAACGTGGGGTTCAGCTTTATCCTGCGACACTGAGGAGGTCAGGCTCACAAAGTCTGCTTTCGAGGTCATCACCCCACACTCACAAAGAACTCAGAATGGGAGAGACACTTTAGATTACTCCAACACTGGGCTTATGCTCACCTGCAGTGATTTACCAAAAGGAATTAATATTTTCATTTTAAATAGAAAGTTAGGGAAATACAAGTGGAGTCCCCTCTTACCTATCAGTACTGCCATGTGTTCACTTCCTCTGTGGGAAGCTGGACAGGAACTGTAAGGATGTTGGTTAGCATCCCAGCCTAGGAAAATCATCTACAGCTCACCAAAAAGACAGAGATTTTCTCTTGCATTCTTATATACTGGGTTGCATATTTCTTCATAATGGACCTGTAAGTAACTAAAGCCTTGGGGACTAATGGTTCTCTAAAATATTCAGCTAACCAAAAGAGAAGGCTAATTTTTTGAATAATGTCAGACCAAAAAAAAGATGAAAAAAGTAAATCTGAATGCCTGAATAAAATCATTTCAAGGATGAAAGTGCATGTGTGAATTAAGGGTAAATAACTCTTTGCCACTTAATTAAATGAGTCTCCAGTTCTCATCAGGATAAAACTGAAGGACAATGAATGCCTTTTGGGTTTTTTAATCTTTTAAAATTGCACTTTATAGCACTTCATAAGAGACGATTGTCTTAATTAAAGCCATAAAATACCAATAATACATATATTCAGGTCTTCTGAATATAGTAAATCAATAAGCAGTTCACAAGTCATTTCTGTTTTGTATTGTTTGTTGTAAATTGGAGTTTTATCTGTTCTATTTTAATTATCTATAATTACTGTTCTAGACAATCCTAATCTACTAATAAATTTCAGATGTGTACTTTAATAAAACTGAAAAATCAAAGAAATTATTCATTTCACAAAAGCATTCTTCATTTTAAAAATAGGTTGTTTTACATTTCCTTTAGATAGCAACTGTAGTATCAGAATACTACATTTTGAAAATATTTCCTTTTAAAAATTATAGGTTAACTGTTTTTCAGGAACTTTTCTCATGCAAAGCAAAGTTCACCCATATGGAGAATGAAATGTATAATTAGCAAACATACCTGGGAAATTTAAGATGTGTTTGAGTTTTTATATAAATATAGGAAACGTCTAAGAAGTTCCCTTATAAAAATGGCAAATAGAGATATAAACTCATCAATAATTTCTTATAACTAAATTAGTAACCTTTCTGAGGAAGACATATAAAACAGCAGATTTCATAATGCATCAGGTGATTTTCCCCCTTTCCTACTAAAATACACAATTTCTGGCCTACTATGATGAACTTTTTGCATACATACATACATAGATGTCTATACAAATAGAAACTTTAATCTTTTACTTCATTGTAACTTTTTATATAATTTGAGTGAAAGCTAATAATGTATTTTTAAACAAAATAATATATAAAAAGCACTTAATAGCCTAGAAATGTCTACCACAGCTGGATACCTAAATTATCTACGTAGAATAAGCACATGTATTAAATTGGACAACCCATCAATTTCATGCTCAGATAGCCAACTCGTCCTCAAGAAAGGGTATCAACACAGAGCCAGTGGCATCCCTCCACTGGGAGCTGTTTCGGAGACTGAGGAGTCTCTACAAAGGGCAAAGACCCTGTCTGGAAGAGGGAGTCCCGTGTTGAGGGACCTGCAGACCCTGTATGCAGAGTCCGCCACTGTGCCCTGCATCTGGCTTTGCCCCTTCATCTGCTTTAGTTTGGGGAAAAAACAAATGAAACCCACAAGCAACAGCTCCCTTCTTCAAACTGCAGACTCAAAACATGTTGAATCAGGGGCTGGGGATTTAGCTCAGTGGTTCTGCCCCCTACCTTGAAAGTGGAAGGTCCTGAGTTCGATTTCCAGTACCAAAAAAAAAAAGTGTTGAATCAAACCTAAGAGTAGCCAACTGGTTTAATGAAGTTTCTGCTAGCACTATAGGAAAGACAAATTATACTTTTGTTATTTGCATATTTTTAAACAGAAAAAAAGTTAGCAGCATTGATTCCAAAATGGACATTTGCCCTATAACATGTAAACTCTTTTTTGGACAGGTTCTGTTAAAAATATCAAAATGCATTCAGAATCTTCTAGCTATTTTGAGATACATAGTGCATTCGTGTCCACTACTATATTCACCCTCCCATGCAGCAGAACTTATTACCCTGACTTGATCATTACCCAACATATACGTAAATCCAAACATCACACTGCACTCCGTAAACATATGCAAGCCTTATGTGTCAAAGAGCAAAAATAACTTTAAAACATTTTTATGAATATTTGGAAAAGAGTGCCATTTTTGTAAAGGATCTTTTTAGAGAAAGACGTGGTCTCATGCTTCCAAGATTTTAATCCCTATCTTTACCCCTTTACGAATCCAGTGGATGCACTCCTAAACGACGATTTTTGTCATAGTGTGTGTGTGTGTGTGTGTTTGCTCGCGCGCTGCTTACAAACATGCTCACTGGGTGACAGGATCCCTGGTGACACTGTGTCAGTGTGTTCTCTGTTTGACTACGTCTGTGAATAACTAACTGAAAGCTCCACTTATTTGTACATAGGCGGTGTGGAGCACTGTGCCTCTGTCACACGGATAAGGCGGTCTCTTCATGTCCCACTGTCCACATCTTTGTGTTTCTACTACTGATAATCAACTTATAGAATATCACTTTATGTAGCTAAGTTGCTTTGGTGTGAAAAATAAGAGTAATAAAATTATTGACTCAAAAAAAAAGTGTTATTTTGTTTTTGAAAATTATCCTTTCCTGCAGCTAATCAGGACATTCAGGGTCTCAAGCAATTTATGCCCAGTGGTACAAGTTTTATTGCAAGAATTCAAGATGACAGGGGCACACAGGAGTTACTGCTCATTATAACTACAATTTACTGGGTTCCTTTTATTGTAATTTGAGCTTTTAAATGTCTGTAGTAAACTTATGCCCTCAAAGCAATTGGATTTTAATGAATTAAATATATTGGGAGTATAAATTCAAAAGATCAGTGTTACCTAAGACTCTGAAGTCAACACAAAATCTTGTTATCAAAGTAATATTTTTATATAAAAATAAGAATTCATAATCACTTTTTTCTTTGATTATACTCAATAAACTCATAAGTTTAAAAGATTAAATTCTAAACTGAGCTGGGGATTTAGCTCAGTGCTTCCACCACCACCTGCCTCGCAAGCACAAGGTCCTAAGTTCGATCCCCAGTACCAAAAAATTTAAAAATTAAAAAAATTCTAAGCTGGGTGTGGTGGCACACACCTATAATTCCAGCATTCAGGAGGCTGAAGCAGGAGGGATCACTGCAAGTTCAAGGCCAGCCTGTGTTACATAGCATGACCCTGTCTCAAAAAATAAATAAAATTCTATATAATTAAATTATTTATGAATTAATTAAATTGCCTCAGGTGTTTTTTAAATTTTACATGTTTAACATATCTGATTCTCTAATACATTCCAAATCTGACAAAACTACTAACCTAAAAAACATAATCTTCCTACACACATAAACAATGCCATTTAATGGAATAAATCAAACTTAAGTGAAATATAATAAATTTAATTATAAACATTTTAATACCATTTAAAAACTCAATACAAATCTACACCTTCGAAATTAGTGAAGCTAATATAAATTATACATGTCAAAATGTAATCAGATATATCACTATAGCCAGATTTCTTTAAAACACCTTAAAATAAAAATATACATAAAATATCCCAGTGGTTATAAAACTTATTCCTAAACCACACCAAAGTGTTAATACTGTAAATTTGATTTACTTCACTCTCTCTACATTTCTGTAACATCTTCCTAGGCTTTGAAAATCACCCAAGTGATGGGCAGATTCAATATCTCAGGCAGATCAGATGCCTGAGGGAGAGGCAAATGTGATTATTTACCATCTGGAGAAGCCATCTCCAGGACGTGGCACAGGGAAGCTTCGTGATGCCCAGAGAACCTGCTGGAGCAAAAGTGAACATGTGAAGAAAAATAAAAGTGAACATGTGGCACTCCCACCTTGAGTCACTCTCTGTCCTGGGCCACGGGGGACCAGGACCACACCTTCCTCTGCCTATGATTTTGTGAGCAGTGAACATCACCACTATGACCATCACTATTTTTTCAGTCAAAATCTTTTTCAAAATTCTGTGTCCTTATTTGGGTAGGTGAATTCTGTGGCCCCCCTGAGTTACAATTTTTATGCTGCACCACTTGATTATATATCCCTTTATTGCCTGGTTGGATTCATTATTCTGTTCATAACTTTCTTATCAGTTCCGACCACAGTTCTGATCATGGTACTGACATGTGAAGTGCTTTGCATGCATCTCATTTAATCCATGTAACAACTCTGAGTTGAGTACCACCATTATTACTGTTTTATAGATCCAAATATGAGGCCAAAGACATCCAGTAACACGCTCAAGGTCACAAAGCATTAGAACTAAAACTTGAGGCTGAATCCTTCCATTGCCCAAGTTTGAACTCTTAATCATTACTTTATGCTTCTCCCCCTCCATTAGCTCTAATTATCCCCAGTCCCAAGATTCACAATTGTAAAGTTCATAGCAATTAGACAGAGTAAGGATGCCAAAGTCAAGCAAGTACCTTCCCTCTTTTCTTGGCCTTCCTAAACTTACACTTCTTTTGAGGTTGTTTATTTTTAACATTTTTTTGTCTTGTTTTTTAAGATGAGTTCTCATTCAAATGCTCCTTCCTTATCTCCCAAGTGCTGGGATAATAGGTGTATACCATGGCAACTTCTCTAAACTCACATTTCTCAATACAAGCTAAGTACACACCAGCTGCATTTGATTGAGTGAACTTGGTACTTCCATAACAGAAGTTTTCAGCCTTGGCACAACTGATATTTTTGGCTCAAAAATTATTTGTTGATGGTTGCTGTCTTGTGCATTGTATCATATTGTATCACTTGCTTTTATCCATTAGGTACCAGTTTCAACAAAGAAAATATGTCTCCAGACATTGCCAAATATTCCCTGGTAAGAGCATAGGGGTGGAAAAAAATTGCTCTCAAGTGAAAACCACTACTGTTTTATCAGATACAACTCAACCAACTATCTCTGGACCTCCATGACCCACTCAGATACACCCTAGGCTTTAGCCAGTGTGTGCCTTGCAACTCCTGTTGTAATCTTGTCAAATATTCTGTAATAAAATCTCTCTCTCTCTCTCTCTGCAAGCATTTACATTACACTGAGATACAATACCTGACAATCACAATTTAAAGGAGGAAAGAAGTCACTTACCTCATGGTTTCAGGAGATTTGATATGTGATTGGCAGACTCCAAGGCAGAAACCTAATGGTGGAAGGACATAGCAGAACAAAGCTGCTTAGTTCATGGTGGCTGAGAAGCAGAGCCAGGGAACAGAGAGGAACAGATGAGGGACCATATATAATACCCAAGGCCATGCCTCCATGTGTCCATGACTTGGACACATCTAAGAGCATGCTTTCTTTACTAATCTGCTAGGCATTTCTTAATCCAATGAAGTTGACATGTCAGGATTACCACTCATGACCCACCCCTTGTCAATCTCACACCCAAACACATCTCCTTAAACCATACTTAATCTCCAAATAAAGATAATAGTAAGTTTATAATTCTGCCTAATACAATTATCCAAAGGTCAATAATAAACACAATAATCCCTTTTCCCGATGTCTCAACAGTTCTACCATTTTTTAAAAGTCTAAGTCCAAGTCTCCTCTGAGACTCAAGACAAACTCTTAGCAGTAAAAATAAAAACAAATTACATAATTCCAAGGTATAATCCCAAGGTAAAGGGTAAACATTTCCATTCCAAAAGTGAGAAATAGAAGGATAGGAAAGAATTGGACCAAAGTAAGACAGAAGTCCAGCAGGACAAACGTTAAGTCCTGTAGCTCCATGTCTGGCATCCAAGGTACAGGTGGTAGTCCTCATCCAGAAGATACCAGGTGACCTTGAGATCTAAAGGCCTGCCCAGTCTACAGTCATACCACCCTGAATGTGCCTGATCTCATCTAAAAGCCTGCCTGGAGTGGAGCATGGTGCTACACACCTATGATCCCAGGCACTCGGTGGCTAAAGTAGAAGGATCACAAGTATAGGGCCAAGCTAAGGTAACATAGTGAGATGCATAAAAATGTAGCTCAGTGGTAAAGCATTTGCCTATCATGTATGATGCCCTGGGTTCCATCCAGCACCACAAAAAAAGCCACAGGCTAGTCAGTAATAACATACTAAGGGAAATTATATTTCAGTCTAGGTGTTAGGCTCAGTCAAGACATTAAACCTTCTGGGGAGTACCAAAGTCTGCAGAATTTCCACATCTTTGGGAGGCTTTGGTGATCTACACATACTAATTACACACTGAAATTCAAAACTACTGCTTGCTCAGTCTTGTTTTTAGGGGCAGGTTGAACATTAACCACATCCTATATATTTCTACAGAGACAACCCTTCCTCATTGAAAACCCAGAGCTAGCAAACCTTGGATAAATCATCCATTAATGCTCCTTCATCCACAGCAGACATCAACAATCTATCACTGCACCATTTCTTATTATACTTTCAAACAGCTATTACCAATCAGCTACAGTGGCATGCAAGGGAAAACCTCTAATTTCCAAACTCAAGCCCAGTGATAGCAAACCTTTTAAGTTTTCAATGATAACAAACAACCAGCTGTGGCATCCGTGCCATGGGTTCACCACCATTGCCCTAACCTAACTTATACATGAGGAAAAATGGGAACTAAATAGGCAATTTCACTCTCCTGAGGTCACACAACTAATGAGTTGAACTGGATATTTGAGAATAACATTTGCTACAAGAACCAAAATGCACCTGAGGTGCTTTACATGTTGGCGTGGGTATTTGATGCACCCAAACATGGTCTACATGGCTCTTAGGATTAAGGAGTTACCACTCATAAGCCAGAGTAGCTAGATCACTGTGACAGGCACCTTCTCATTTAGAAGACTTAAGAGTCAGGTCATTAGTTAGGTTATACACAGACAGTGAATACAGCAGGATCTTATC